TGCGCGCCGGCGCCGCGCGCGCGAGGCCCTCTTCTTCCCAACCATCACGAGCGAAGGCCAAACTGTAGACCAGCCTCTCTTGCTCCTTCAGTTTTACTCATAGTCTGGTCATATAATGTGCTTCAACGACGAATTGGAGAACGGAGATGCTCTGAACGCGGATCTAGTTGAGGCCACGGAGCTCAACCTCAAGCGCCAGCACAACAGCCTCGCAATCATCAATCGCCTCCCGGACGAAATCCTTCAGACGGTGTTCGTCTGTCTTCGCGCCTCGTACGAAGATGAATTCAAGACAACCATCTTTCACTACCTCTATGTGCCTCACTGGATCGCCATAACTTGGACCTGTCACCGATTCAGAGCCATCAGCCTCGATTACCCGTTGCTGTGGAGTCACATTCGAGATTTCAAGCGTCCCTGGCTGTTTGCGTTCCTCGAAAGGTCTGGTGTGACCACGCTGGACGTCAAAGTTAATGCTCACTACCACGAGCAACTCCCCCTCGAGCGTATCCTACAACATACATCCCGTATGCGCATACTCAACCTGGAAGGCTCATCACGTGGGATGTGCAATCAAATTCTGCCTCTACTCAAACATGAACCCGCTTGTGAGATGAGGATGTTGTCGCTGCGATTCGACGATGACTACGATGTAGACGACGCTGCTCAGGAGAGAGCGATCGACTGTCTGACCAACGCGTTCGCACGTCAAGCACCGCTCTTACGCGACCTCTCTATCCGATGCATCATACCTCTTCACTCAACGACCTCATTGCTTTCACCACTACTCGAAAGCTTGGATCTAGAGGGGCCGTATACGGCGCCAAATCTAGCGTCGCTACTTCAGGCAGCAGCTGGTCTGCGCTCTTTATCTGTCAGAGGCAGGATACCGGAGTCTTCCCGTGCATCCCATGGCCCCTCTAATGAGCGCGTACCCTTTCTAAGTCTTCCTCGCCTATCGTCGCTTGACATCTATATTTCCTTCGATGAGCAGGTAGCCCATCTCCTTCATCATCTCAAAGTTCCTGCGCTCCGATTCACGCGCTTGATGCTCACGGGCTCTGCGAACTCCAATCTGAAATCCGGCAACATCGACACGGCATTTTCCGCGCTGTCGTCAGTACTACGACAAAGCCACGAGGGCAAGCCCTTCCTGAGCGTACGATTGCACCCGGTCTCGTACAGCAGCGGATTTCAATGCGTAGCGCACCTGTGGCACTCTCCGCGTGCAGGAGCCGAGACGAAGTACTCTTACCCCCACCCAATCAAACCCGATGCAATCGTGGATGTCTCACCAAGAAGCAGCCATTGGACTCTTCCCCTCGCAGTTTTTGTGCCCTTATACAAGCACGCCTGCAACATCCTCCCGCTGTTAGACGTGAACACGTTGACTATCGAGATGCATTACACATTTACGCCGAAGCAATGGGCAGATATTCTGCGGCCGCTCGCACGCGTCGAACACCTGAAACTCATCGGAGATAACCTTATCACGGTTTTGAGCGCACTGGTCCCTACACCTTTCATCTTCCCTAACCTGTCGCGCATCGCCGTCCACCTTTCTGAGAAAGCATTGCGAAACAACGCATTCCTGCCGGAACTCGTAGATGTCGGCAAGACCCGCGCAGATGTGCAACGGTTGGCTATTGCCTTCGAGGATTGCGCTCGGGGATATGCCTACTATTACCGCACTATTGGGAAGTTCGCGAAGGTGACCTGGAGATCGTCGAAATCAAAGGTATGTCCCATAGTTGCTGGTGGGTCGATCGGCATGGCTGATCTTCACATCCCAGGGGAGACGCAGTCCAGATTGATACGAAAGACCCCAGCCTCTCAGTGTGGGGATATGAGTGCATCAAGCGCGATGTCAGTGTAGCATATACGGATCACGCTAGCAAAGCGAACCTGGCTCGATGTATGCACATTGTGACGGTCTCATCGCCGACATGGATAATCGCTTGTTCTAACACTATTCGCTGTGCACCATACTATTGTATCTACGCCCTACAAAAGGTCTTTTGACCGAATATAGAACTAGTACTTCGTGGAGGCTGCTATATTCGATCATTGGCGACCGTGTGAATCGGGACGTTTGCGCTTGAGGTCACTGAGAGAAGCGCAGCGCCTCTTGCCATCTCCCTTCATCTTCGCACCTTGCAAGTGCAAACACCTCTCCCGAACACCAGTTGAGGTCATGGACGCTACAACTGTGGAAGCACAGATACAGGAAGCGACGGAGGCCATGCAAGCTCAGAACACGAATCTCCTCAATCTCAAACGTCAGCACAATGACATCGTCCCCATCGGTCGTCTTCCTGATGAAGTCCTTGAGACGCTCTTCCTCTGGCTTCGCAATGCATGCGTAGAGGAAGAAGTCCTCCTCGTAGCATATCCTGCTCTGCGCGCTCCAGGATGGGCGCCCGTGTCCTGGGTCTGCCACAGGTTTAGAACACTCTGTCTAGGTTATCCTCTGCTGTGGAATCACATCGGCGATTATCGGCACAAATGGATGTTCACCTGCGTTGAGCGCTCGACGCCCAGCCCACTGGACGTGCACCTGAATATCGACCTGCATGGGAAATACCCCTTGAAACGCATCTTGCAGAGCGTTTTCCGCATGCGTGCCCTGGTTCTGGAAGGCGAAGCGCAGACCATGCGCGATCGTGTACTTCCACGGTTAAACATCCCCGCACTCGAACTCGCGACGCTCTCCCTGCGGACTCATGGACACATACTCGGCATCCACTCTGTTGGTATCTTGACCGCTATTCGGCACCTAGACGAAGCGTTCTCCGGCCAAGTGCCGCACCTGCGCAGTCTTGAGATTGGACGCACAATGCACCTATACCCTTCTTCATCCTTACTTTCACCATTGCTTCAACAACTTGTCTTGGAAGACGCATACTCGGCAGCGGAGCTGTTTAATTTGCTGCGGGTACTTCCCGGTCTAAGATCACTTGAAGTAACGAGCGCCAACGTGGGCGTCTTACAGACGCAAGCTCGAGTCTTCGATACCGCTGATACGGTGGATCTGCCCGTGTTACACTCGCTTTCCATCGAGATAGCCTTCACCGAAGAGGTCGTTCGGCTACTTCAGGTCGTGAAAGTGCCGCAGCTTTCCTCGACATCCCTCGTATTCACCTCCTTCAACTTCGATCCAGAGCGTTGCGGGACGGCGTTGACAGCAATATCGTCCTTACTTCAACAAAATGATGACGGAACTTCTTTCCGAAGTCTGCGTTTACATCCGATCTCAAGATACGTGGATGGATACCGCGTTTGCGAGCGCGTACTCCTGTGGCATTCCCCCGGCGCTGGAACAGAGAGCCAGAAACATCATTTCCATCAATCGCCAGCATACATCGAATTCAAACCATCCTCTGCTCTCCCCGTCACTCCTGTACACGCTCTCGTGCCCTTCTACCGGCATGTCTGCTCGGATTTACCGCTCGCGGGATTGACGACTGTGACCATCGAGATGGATTACGTCTTCACGACACGCGAGTGGGCGGACATTCTGCGACCTCTGGCGCGCATCGACCATCTGAAGCTCATCGGCGACCGCCTAGGCACGGTCTTGGATGCGTTAGCCCTGACTCCCTTCATCCTACCCATGTTGTCGCATCTCTCTGTATGCATACCGTTGCGCAGGACAGTCACACCACCTCCGCTATTGCGCGAGCTGATGGACGCTGCAAAAGCGCGCATCATAGAACGGCGGCTACACGTCGCGTTCGAGGATTGCGACCGCTTCGTGCCTGCGCTCTACGAGGGACTCGGAGAGTTCGCAGACGTCACGTGGGATGATATGGGCTTTTTCGACGATGATGTGCAGGACCAGGAGCCATGGCTGGCCCTGCTTTTCGATTAGGATTACATCCAATCGCTGTGGCGCACGCAGATTAACTCAATGACGCCTGTTGTCCCAAGAGCGCCCATGTTTTCGTCGTGATCTCATGACCGATGACAAATAATGGATCCATCACATTATATTAGAAATCGCAAAGTAATCCCAGGTATACCAATAATCGTCAAATGCCACCACGCGGACCCAGATGTTGAATAGATGGAGTGAGATGTTGCTTCGTATGCTGTCGACCGCAACAGGACAAGAGCGAGAACTGTCGTCGCCAGTGCCGTACACTGTAGCACCCATGACTGCTGTCAACGACCACCCTTGATAAGCTGCTCTCCGGTGATTGCGTCCTTGCTCTTCTCCGACGTAGCGTCGCCCACTTTCTCATCATCGCCACACCCACAATCGTAGTTCTCTTCGAGGTGCGCACAGTCAAATTGGGGCTTCTTCAAACGCTCGTTCACACGGTTGTGTACGGCACACAACCACAACGAGGCGGATCTTCTCGAGGATGTCTGCCGAGCGTCGTGTCAGCCTATGTATGTAGAAGGCGAGTAGTGGAGCAATGCTGACCTGTGGTGGGTACTTCTTCAGAAGCTGTTGAAACTCAGCGGCGCATTCTCCGCATGGGTATAGGCGAGAGAAGAGATGGATATACGAGTAGAACGCGTTGCGCTCGTCCTCCGTAGGCGCCTACAAGGTGTTTAGAGTTGCGTAGACGAGTTATGTCTGATGATCCCACACCTCTGGGTACCGTAAAGTCATGGTGTGCCTAGACTGTCGTGAGCGGGCCGATCTGATCTAGTGTTTTAAGCACGCACAATAACTTCCATGTTGCGCGCCCAAGTTCGGCCCTTCGTAGCTGTCAATCACCGTGCCTGCCTATACAAAGCGGGACCACGCACTTGGCAGTCGCATTGCCTAGTTTGGGCATGACTACGCCTCCGTGGACTTCGTCCCCGTTCGGCCGTAGTTGCACGTTGGCCTCCAGGTCTCCCACGGGTAGTATATGCATATCGCTCCCGGCTAATACTCCGTCGTTCGCGAACAGGTCACCCGCCCATGGCTCGAGATAGGAGCGCGAAGGTGTGCTGATGAGAGCAATGGACCCGACTAGAAGCTACGACCATCCTCAGCCGACTGCCGGCAGCTTTCCTATCTCGCATTCCAGCTCACCACCGCAAGAAGGACCACCCAGAAAGTACGCGATATGCGAGAGGCCATGGTGGTAGAGATGAAGGTGTTGAGGAGCCACGCTTGGCAAGCGCCTAACAATGTAACATCGTGGTCGAGACGAAAGCTCCAGATGGTGCCTAGCTTACTCGCACGCGTGCTTACCCAGGGTTTATTGAACTTTGTTGGATGTTTCAGACATGCGAGATGAGATAACGGGATCTACATTGATCTACATCTCCCGACTTCGCACCGAGTCAAGCCCTATCGGCGGCGTTGCTCTCTGACTCTTCTCTAACAACGACCACCACCTTTTGCTGTCGTCGGCTGAAACGCCTGCGTAGCCATCCATCATCCCAATGAGCTCATTCTACGTCGACGAGGCCAAGGGCTCGGATACCGCCGGGAAGGGTACTGAGAACCAGCCATACCAAAGCTTGGCCTACGCTCTCTTTACTCATGGTCAAGATGCGAAGTTACTTGTACCAAAGGACGGCGCATGGGAGGAACCGTCACAGAGCGCGCTGAAGAAGGCGAAAAAGGGCGCTGATGGCCTGGAGAAGAAGCGCAAGAAGGCCGAAGAGCTCGCCGCGCGCGACGCGGAGGCCAAGGCGAAGGAGGGCGAGAAACGGGAAAAGTTGATCGAGGAAAGCAAGAAGATCGTGCTCACCGAGGATGCATCGCTTCCAAAAGCGACAAAGGTTTGCGATCTGCCTATTCAGAGTAGTCGCATGCGCCGCTAATTATCTATATATAGTCGAAGATCAACCAACTCGCATCACTCCGCGACCAGCGTGTCCGCGTCAATGGTTGGGCACATCGAATCCGTGATCAGGGCGGTATCATCTTCATCACTGTCCGCGACGGGACTGGCTACCTTCAGTGTGTCCTTTCTGGCAACCCTGTACGCGCGATGCGATGTATGAAGAGTAGATCCATGCTCAATCTCTTCCCCAGGCTAAAACCTACGACGCGTTGACATTGACAGTCGAGTCGACTGTTGAAGTTGTTGGCACACTCAAAGCAGTTCCTGAAGGAAAGACAGCTCCCGGTGGACACGAGTTATCTGTCGACTACTGGCGGGTTCTTGGGAAGGCACCCGGTGGTGATGAAGCCTTTACCAACCGCTTCAACGAGGTTTGTGACTTCCCTACTCGTACGCTCGCGCTTCGCTGAGAGGAGCGGCAGAAATCTGACCCGTCCATTCTCGCCGACTTGAGGCACTTCGTCATCCGGGGAGAGAACGCCTCGAACGTGCTTCGCCTCCGTTCAGCATTGCTCAACTCGTTCCGCTCAGAATATGCCAAAATGAACATCACCGAAGTCAACACGCCTTGTATCGTTCAGACGCAGGTTGAAGGTGGCGCAACGCTCTTCGGGCTCAACTACTACGGCCAGCCGGCCTATCTCACGCAGAGTTCACAACTTTACCTCGAGACATGTCTTCCCGCTCTTGGCGATGTGTTCACTGTTCAGGAGAGCTTCCGCGCCGAGAACAGTCACACGCGCCGTCATCTGGCCGAGTATACACACTTGGAGGGCGAGCTCGGCTTCATCACGTTCGATGATCTCATGGACCATATCGAGGCCATTGTGGGTACAGTGATGTTGCCAAAGCAGACTTGATCATTGACAAGATCCTCCTTAGATCTGTAACACCGTTGACGCGCTCGTGCAGGATGAGGCGTCTTCGGCACTCATCCAGCAACTTAACCCCGGGTTTAAGCCGCCGGCGCGACCCTTCAAGCGTATGTCGTACGTGGACGCTATTGCGTGGCTTGTCGAACACAAGATACAACATGAGAAGGAGGACGCGGATGGGAACGCCGTGCTTGATGAGCAGGGCAAGCCGGTAATGGTCGATCATGCCGTCGGCGACGACATCGCGGAGGCAGCCGAGCGCCAGATGACTGATATCATCGGCACGCCAATCTTCCTGCACAGTTTCCCCGCCGAGCTCAAGGCCTTCTACATGAAGAAGATCCCGGGGCAGGAAAACTCCAACCATATCTACACGGAGAGTTGCGATCTACTCATGCCCGGCGTCGGAGAAATCGTCGGAGGCTCAATGCGCATCGCTGACCACGACGAGCTCATGGCTGCATACAAACGCGAGGGCATGGATCCCACCCCGTACTTCTGGTACGTAGACCAACGCAAATACGGTACATGCGAACACGGCGGTTATGGGCTTGGTGTGGAGGTCAGTGTCTTCTCTTACGGCTGAACGCATCTACCGCGTGTATTGATGCTCTCGCAGCGCTTCCTGGCCTGGCTCGCCAACCGTTATACCGTCAGGGAATGCGCTCTGTATCCGAGATGGCCGGGTCGTGCGACGCCCTGATCGCTCATGTGCCTCTGCGAAGTTGCGAAGTTCTTTCTCGGTTCCGAGTCAAAATCCCGGTGTATACCAATAGAAAACTAGAATGTACAACTGCACTGAATGAATTGCTTCCTGCACGTAATACGCCCTCAATCAAAGGTACAGCCATAAACGCGCTGCGCGACATCTTTCCACGATGGCTTGTCCACTGCATAGGACTCGGCATATGCCGCTTCTAGCTCATGCAGTCGCTTCCCAACAATGACGAGACTATGCAGCGGCTCGCCGAACACATCCGCCGGCTGATCTCGCAGCTGTGCGAGCGTACCGGATACAATCTTTTCATGTCCATCGCCACCTCCAACGCGCGAGAGCGCGATCGCCAGTGTTCTATCGGCATCTAGGATACCGCCTTTGCGCGTCTCTTCAACCTCCAGGAGTTGAGAGACAGCTTGCGGAATCGACATGTATCTTGGCGGTTCGTAGATCTTACGGCCCCTGCATATAGTCTATTAGTGAGTTCTGACGGTCTGCCGTACAAGTTCAGACGGGCGAACCTTGCTAGATTCTCTTCGCTCTGCTCCTTGACTTTGATGTCGAGAAGGACAAGCGTGTGCATGCCTAGACCAGCGTTCTCCTGCATGCGATCATAGAAGCTATCCGGTCTCCATGTCTCCGTAAAGAAGACTAGGGACACAGTTTGCCCAAAATTGTATAGCTGCAAGCCACAGGCGCCCGCCGCATTGAGTATTGATGCATTGTGGATCACACGAGTAGGGATACCAGCTGCGCGCGCTCGGAGGATGATGTCCGTATGTGTCGTAGCGCTAGCAATATACACGTTCAGATCGTACAGCTGAAGGCAATGAGCAACCACTTACCCGAACGGATCACCTACAACGAGAAGCGCGATATCCTCCTTGTCTGCACCTGCTAGGATTTCATCGCTCTGGGTCTCTACCATATCACGGTCGGCGAGGATCAGTTCCTTGCCGTAGAATGCTTCCTTTTTCGCATGAGTGCCCGATCAGTACATAGTATGGCGCTCGTACCAAGCGTTCTTTCGGCACCATCAAGATGCTCGTGTACGCCTCCAAATAAACGCGTGTCGAAGACTTCACAGCCTATGCGAGACGCGGTTGGCGAACGCGGTCACGCAGCAGAACTTCTGTCGTACCTCCAACCCGCGTACGGTGATATCCTTCTCGTCTGCAAGACCGAGGCCGATCACGTAGAACATGGCGTACCAAGTAAGATGGTGGGCAGATGCGAGCCGCAGGCTCTGAGCGCGCACTTTTCGGTTTCATCTCTGATTGATGATGCCCCTATCCTACATAGATACACGTGGCGGCATTCAATGAAGACGCGTGGCTCGCGGACAGAGTTCGCTCTTGGTTACTTCTTTCTTACCACGACCACGACCATTCGCGAAGGATTTAACTCTTTCGGGAAGGCGAAACCTTCGTGAGCTTGACAGAACTGTACCCACACTGCAGCTGCCAGCCGTCGCTGAGACCGACGCGCTCTAAATGACGATGTGGGATTTATCATCACGCTGAGGCTCACGTCGGCAACGTTGAACCACCGCCGGGAGACGATGGGCCCCACTATAGCCTATTACGAAGACTACGCGGCAGACAAGTGACGTCCGAATCGGTTTGGACCAAGCCAACTCGGTTCGCAGCTGGCTTTGTCTGGCAGACAATGCGCACGCCTAAAGACGTTCGTCCCTTGTGCCGTGGCTAGGCCCAGTCCGAAGCACCTGCCTACTGTAGTCCTGTTCGTCCTACTGCGGAGTAGCCTTCTCCGTCACCTTCCTCGTCCGTTCCCACCAACTCTAACGGGCCCTACGGACAGCGATCCGAGTTTGAGTCTCGAGGCCTGCATATATACTTCGCAAGATTATCCGTGACGCAAGCGCCCGTCCGGGTGCCCTCCCTCTGCCCTTAGTCTCCTTGTTCCGGCGTTCATGCAACATGTCCGAACCTGACATCATGACGATTCCGGGCGTCCCAACTTGGAGGGCAGCAAGCGTCTTTTCTTTACTATTCTCCGGAATGTCCGTAGGTCGGACTTCTGGTTCTTGATCTGGGCTCAAAGAGGTTGTTCGCAGCATGCTTGGGATCATCACTGAACAGGTGTCCTCTTACGGGGCGCGTTATCCCAAAGATACCCGATTGCTCAAGTTTTGGGTGAGCCGATACGACGTATATGGTGATCTCGAAGGCACTAATACCCGGGTAAGGTTTACTCGCTCTGGTGAGTAAGATCTTATATGAGTCTTGCACGACGTTTACTGAATATCTCTTTGATGCCCGTAGGATTCTGTCGGTGGCCGGCACTGGGTTGGACGCCTTCGTTGCTTGGACAATTGATGACAGCATTCAGACGTATCTGACAGCCCTCGTTGCATGGTGTGTGGCTTTTCATCCCAGTACGATGGTCCATGTTAACCTCATCGAAGGTCGGCCGCCGTATGTGCTAACGCTGAAACTGTGCCATGCCATGATCTGACCTGTGAGATTGCAGACACAAGGAACGCTCGCAGTATGATTGCCCGTCAAGGCTTTACTGGATTACTGACGATCGTCCTCTTAGTCATTATCCACACTTATGGTGGAACTGTGAGTCTGTGCTCGAATAGGTGTCGGTGCACGTAACTTACGCTTCGCAGTTTCTTCGTGCGTACGGTATGGAGAGGTCGGTTGCTTTCATTTGCGGTAGAAGAGCAGGCCAGCTGACAAGGTCACAGTCCGCAGGCAGCTATACCCGTCTTCACGCTGGACAAAACCAATCTGCACAGTGCTCGTGCGTAATGAAAGAAGCCTTCTGCGACTACAGGTTCTCATCCTAGCCACAGTTCTCCTTGAGCATCGCATCATTCACGACTACGATTAGTGCGTATTCTCTGGGCTACCCGTATACCCAGGCTAATAGCATGATTGTTCAGCCAGCTTAGGGTAGGCAGACCCAGCTGCCGACAATCTCGGAATCAGCTACTAACTGCAGTGTAGCTTGATCGATCTCAACAGCGATTCCCTCGCAAAGGTCACGATACTCCATTTTGGCGCCACAATGCACATCCCTCAACCTTTGGTAGACTCTCCTTCTCGTGAAACTTTTCTTGGATCTGGTTCTCGACTGTGGCATCACGATCTGCCTTGTATGGATGATCCATGCGAACAGGAGCGACTTCCCTAGCTAGTACGCTCTTTCTACTCCTCCATTGTCTTCCTTCCCAACCTTCGCGGTCTTTCCCCGTCAGTAAACTTCGGAGGGATAACTTCATTCGTGACCTCGTCGTCTGGATCACGTCACGCGGTGTGGTGCTCGTGTACGTCCTTTCTCACCTTCATAGGTGTCACCCTCGCTAACCCAGTTTAGTATATGCGAGATGCTCGCGGTCATTATGGTCCGTCATGTCATTCTCGGACAAGGAACCTGCTAATACCCGATTCTCAGGCGTTCAAGCTCTTTCTTTCCGCGAGCCTGATCATCGTCACCTCATGCATACCTAAGGTATACGTATGGACACTGCTTGTGGCGTACGTGAAGTTTGATCATGCATACATGCACGCCTAATAAAGTCTTAGGGTGATGAACCGGCAATCCTACCAGTCCTATCGATCCTCTTCTGGAGGACCAGATGTTCGACAACTTACCGCACCTCAACTCTCTTCGGTCATCATCCCCGTGAGTGCTATTCGCGTGTGATATAATTCACTCGCTCACATGTACACAGGATCTTGAGGCATGCTCCAGCCCTGGGCCAGAAACTATGGTATCGCACAGCACGCCGTCAAATCATCTGGAGGTGCGGGGTGTACTAGGTCTTACACCAAGTTTGACAGATACCTCTTCGTCTCTTTACTATGGAGGTGCCAGTGCTCCTTCTGATCATGCATAATGTATACCATACCATTCATTGCCTGCGATCATCGTAGTCTTTGTACCAATTTAGCCTAGTACACGTACGGCTCGACTGTAACACGCACAAGTACGACTAGTAGTCGACACGTGCTACCAGTGCGCGGAACGCGAGTGAGGCTAAGCCAACAAGCTGAATGATCAGTCGACATGTTTACGACAGTTCACGCACTTCCGAGTCGCACCGTTCATCACAAACTCTCCTGTATAAATCGGGCGATTGGCTTCGAATTATATTTCTTGAAAATGCTTAATTGCTATTGGCGGGTTGGCGCAATGGTTAGCGTGCCAGTTTCCGGTTTATCCCGTCTGCTGGTGGTTGTGGGTTCGAGTCCCATACTCGTCGATATAGGCAATTTCCTTGGCTTTTTTTCTTCCCCACTGGGTTCAAACGTTCATCCATGAGTGGCCGTGAAATAGTCGCATACATTCTACAAAAAAGCCCGGGACAGCGGAGGCCTGTCATGACGCTCTCATATGCTGCATATGGAGTCAGAATTAGCGCCAGATGGGTGTATATATGATGGTACTACTACAGTAAGCACAAGGTCCGACGTGTGTCCTAAGCGTCCGTTCCAGATCTACGATAATGGTTGCTCCTACACTTCCCTCGCCCGAAAATCCTCCCTAGTCAATGTATGCTGTTCGCCTGTCCGCCCCGCGCGCTGCGCGCATGTTGATGATTCCACCAGCAACGGAACTGAGCGCGGAACCGCTGAAGTACGCGGAGCGCGCAAGAACCTCCTGATCGACGAGCGCACGAATGTCTGTGAGCATCAACGGCCATCCGAGTTCACGCTGATCATCCATCGTCAGCAGATCGGCAAGTCTTAACGCGCCACCCTCGGCGAAAGTCTTCAATGCATCCGGATCGCGCTCGTCCGTGGCTAAATAGAAACTGTAGCATGCGATGTAAGGTATAGCCAATAGCAATATACGGAAAGAACCACGTACGGATCACCCGGATGCGGCGCATCGTTTAAGACGAGGGAGAGGTTGGGCTCGATGTCCGGGACCGTATACGGCTGAACTTTCTCAATGCCGCCCAGGAAGTTGCGTCCGTACTCAAGGTGGCTCTTCACTGTATTGAGGTGATTCTCCGGGTCCTTGTCAACAACCCAGCCGGCAATGATGACTGTAATCATGTCAGCGAGTACAGTATGGATCGCAGCACAACTCCACTCACAGTCACCTCGGCGCATATGCGCACCCATCCAGAGCCTTTCCTGGGTTCGCTCGCGCATACGGCCTGCGATCCGGTCGGCAAGACCTTGTATGGCATTAATAGGCACCATATCGTGAAGGACGTAATGCTGGAACTCTTCGAGCGCCTCTCGTGTAGTGAACCGTATTGAGCCCTATAGTGTATCAGCGAGCACACTCCAGATTGATAGACTCTGAACGTACAGGTTTGCGCCCGTTGTGGATCTCTCCCGCGAGAAGGAGCACATCGCTATCAATATGCTCATACTCTTCTCTCCAAGGGTGAATCGCCGATCTGGGTACTGCCTGGAGTATGGGTTCTACAACAGGCTTTGCCAGATCCAGTTTGCGCCTGCGCATGAAGATCTTGAGTCAGCAATGGTCGGAGCGAAGGTAAATGCATGAGACGTACACGGCCTCAAACGTGTGAACAGCTTCCCAGCCGTTCTCTTGCAACGCGGCAATGACCTCGCTGTCTTTATCGAGATCATAGCGCTGAGCTACCTCCATTCTTTTCAGACGGTGAACGGCGGCAGGCCAGTTCACGACCCCAGCGTAGTTGAGACTTCCGCGCAGATTCTTCGAGATGTCCGTCTCCTCTTGTTCCGACCAATGTCCACCAGTACCGTTCCCTGAGCCAACACCCTGCACCCAACCGCCTCGGGGGATCATGTCTTCGGAGAGACGATCGACGCGTATCGTCTTGTCAGCGTCGTACCATCTGTTTGCTACCACAAATAGAGAGGGATTGCGCGGATGTTCCGGTGATGCGAACATGTTCGGATGTTGGTGGTAGGCAACGCGCTGCCAATTCCCATCGCTTGCCTCGAGCGATGCTGGAAGGTCGTGTAGACGCAAGTAGTCGGATGTCAGGATGGTTGGGTGCACCTCGCGCATGCGTGTGATATTGAGCATGAGTGAAATGGGGACCCGGAAGGCCATCTGTTGTTCTGGAGGCACCGCAGCCCATTGGTCGGTATGGAGCGCCTCGGTCTTATTCACGACCTCAATGAAGTCCGCGCATACCTCACTATGGTACTGCGTGAGTGGGAATTGCGGGTGCATAGAATGAAACCCACATACATGTCGTACTCGCAAGCACGCGCGTACACAAACGAAGGGAGTACAAGTGTGCGATTCAACAGCTTCGCCTGAATGAAGGCTGCCTCGATGATGTAACGCATCTACCCTTGTAGGTCAGTATGGTGCCACAGCTTAATGACTGAGTACGCACATTATTCCAGCCTAGATGAAGGCTCCAGTCGCGTACAAAGAACCCTTTCGTTCTGCTGACCATGTCGTGCAGTTCGTCGAGTTCGAGATGATGATAGTCGGTAAGATAGTCGACAGGGTCTGCGAAGGATACAGGCTTGGGTGCAGGTCGCGGCGGGCGGGAGTGCGGATGTGGGCGCGTAGGAATGCGCGGATCGGTGAGGAGTGGAATCCGCTCAGCCGGAAGCTCCAGCGCGCTCGGCGGCTGCAGCATGCTGAACGAGCGTATATGGAAGGAAACGGCGTAAAAGAAGGCGCCGAATAAAGTTGCGGTGCACAACAAGCGCCAGCGCGAAAGTAAAGAGCGGCTTTGAGTTGGCTTGAGGCCGTCTCGGTGCAATGGCAAGTCACTCATATTGAGAACGGGTCGAGGTAGGCAAGCACAGATTGTCAAGGAGTGTTAGAGGGGTCAGTACGGGACATTCGGTAGTGGTAGTGGCGATGGAAGACGTTCGCGAGCATCGTTGCCAGCGTGTGTATACAGTGCAGATGGAAACACGCCGGAAGGGGGTTGGTCGATGGGGTCCGGACCCCGTTGACGTCGAATGGTAGCCGCGCGAGGAAGAGCATTCGAACAACTTCGAACCATCACGGAACAGACTCGTTCGGTGGTGGTCTCGACTCTTCGATGCCGTAGACATAGGCTTCAATAGTGGTACGTCGACCACACCATAGTTGCGTACGAGCTTGGCGAACACAGCGCCATATTCAGATAGTGACTTAAAGCTCGTGTGAGCTCTGTGGAGCAGATCCTGATCTGAATTCTGGGGTCGTTGCACGATGACAGCAGGAAACAAGGTGACGCCGCCAAGCCCGCGACGGGCGGTGCCGGCGCTTCGTAAAAACGCGGTCAGGTGACGCAACGCGTCGAATATCTAAAACTTTTTCCTCGCGATTGCTGCAAGCATTTCTACAGTTCCTACCAGTTCGCAAGAAGAAATAATATCGATCATCGAGAGAGAGAGAACGACAAGACTATGCGATAGCAGCAAAGCATAAGTAGCGAGTGGATAGTACAGTAATGATGCGAGAATCAAGAAGCACTGCGCTCAAGCAGGAAAGCAGAGTAAATACTAGCGATACAATAGATTCTTCGAAAAGCGTCTCTAAAACAGATACACCACAATCAGTCTATGAGGACGGTGCGCGGGTCGGCACCAAATGCCGCTCGCATGTTGACGATACCACCGGCGACGGAGCTCATGGCGTGAGCGTAGAAGTAGTTTGAGTGTGCGAGCAGCGACTGTTCAAGGACGGCGCGAATGTCCGTGATCATGAGCGGCCAGCCGAACTTGCGGCGGTCAGCCATGGTTAATAGGTCGTCAAGGAAGACAGCGCCGTTGTCGGCGATGATCTTCAGCGCCTCAGGGTCGCGCTCATCTGTCGCGACGTAGAACTTGTCTCCGGACTTGGGCGGGTCAAGCGTCAGTTGCTCAGAGTTCGCCACGACGCCTGGGACAGAATATGCGTGGATGTCCTTCAGTCCCTCGAGGATCTCGCGGCCGTGGCTAAGGCGGTCCTTGACACGGTTGACGTGGTCCAGCGGGTCTTTCTCCATCACCCAGCCGGTGTTGACGACTGAGGGAATATCAGCGCCACTCCAGGATGACCCAGATGTAGAACTCACAATCGCCGCGCCGCATGTGCGCACCCATCCACAGTCTGCCTCCTACAAGCTCCCGCATGCGGCTCGCCAATTGCTCAGCAAGGGCGTACATGGCATCGACAGGAACCACGTAGTGCAGCACCCGATTCTCGAACTCGGACCGGGCAGCGGTCGTTGTAAAGCGCATGGTTCCCGGTTTGCGATAGAGATGCACTTCGCCAACGAGGAGTACGACATCCTCGGTGCGGTCGGCCCATTCATCGACCCATCCGCGGATGGATTGGCGAAGAACGACCTGACGGCCAGGTTCGGTGACAGTCCGCGTGAACTCCATGCCCAGCACGGCATGGAAGGTGTATAAGACTTCCCAACCGTTCGCCTCGAGCGCGGCTTGAACTCCTTCGTCCGTATTCAGATCCCACTGTTCTCGAGCGTCGGTCTCACGAAGAAGCTCGACGGCACGCTCCCAGCTCAGCACTACGGAGCGGTCGTCCAGACTCTCGTTCAGGTGTTGCCCAATGGCACTGAGTTCGACGTTCTTCCAATGACCGCGCTCGCCTATCGATGCATCTCCGCCCTCGGCCGTCCAGCCTCCACGCGCCTTCATGTCGTCCGGGATCCTGTCCACGCGAGTGGTCTGCCATGGGTCGTACCAATGATTCTCGATGACGTATAGACTGGGGAGATGTGACTGATCCTCGTCAAGTGCGGCTGCCTGGACGTGATACCAATCGCGCAACCACGCGCCATTCTTCGCCTCGAGTTTCTCGGGTAGGTTGTGCATAGTCAAGTATTGCGCCACGGTGATGGTAGGGTGTAACGAGCGTAGTCGTGTCACATTGAGCATGTACTGGATCGGAATCCGGAAGCCCATCTGCTGTTCGTACGGTCGGTCGTCCCACTCTGATGAGCCCAGTGTTTCTCCTTTATTGATCATAGGCGCGTACGCCGCGCATGCATCACTGCACGAATCAGGCCTCATATCATTCTTATCAGAGATGCAAGACTTACAGTTCGTACTCGCATGCGCGAGCATAGACAAATGAGGGAAGAACGAGGGTCCGATTAAGGAGCGTAGCCTTCAAATGGGCTGCCTCGATGATATAGCGCATCTGTGGCCTTAGTATCAGTAAAGGTAGAGATCAAGGTATGTTCAGGAGCCTACATTATTCCATCCTAGGGCTAGACTGTAGTCGCGCACGAAGTAACCCTTGGTCGTCGCGACCATGGCGGTGAGTTCCTCGACCGACATCTCGTCGTAATCAAGAGCGGGCGCTATCGGCTCTACACCGGCATACGATGGGGGTGCACCAGACGTTTCCGGGGCTGGTGACGCGGCCGAACTTGGGGACGATATGGGAGCAGCCTCAGCCGCATCAACGCCTTCGGGCGCATGCTCATCCCAATTGGGCATATGAGGCGGTGGTAGTGTAGGGAAGAATGTCGAGAAGACGAGGTAGAAGATGAATCCAGACAGAGCGGCCGTGACGAAGAAAATGGCAGTGGACCCGAGTCGTCCGCCTGCGCTGTAGCCGCCGAGGAAGCGCGACTTGCGTTGGCGGCGCGGGTTCTGCAGCTCCGTATCAGGATCCTGCGAGACCTCCGCATATGACAATTCCGAGTAAGCCATGGTGGCTGGATGCTAGTCTTCGAGAAGACGATGCGAGAAAAGCAATCGAAAGAACGTGGAGGTTGAGGAGAAAGAGGGGATATCGCCGAACGCATGGCTTGATGACAAGGGTCAAACAGCCCCTCACCCCGTTGCAATTGACACTGAGCGCCGTAGTGATCTCGATTACTCAATGATCATCTTATGGTCGTCGAGTGGTACTGTTGGTGTTCCGCTTCATCTGGACTCGAAGATTGGTGGATCCTTGGATTCCTTATTATGCCCATGAGCGGGAGACGAGAGTTGTTCGTTGTGTTCGCTTCCGAGCTCTTGGGCAACGTCGCCGTTGACGCGCTTCACGGCACCGATCATTTCGGGGCGGCATCCCACGGCCCGCCCCTTATTGGGCCTATGTAGTTTAATGACGCCGGATCAATGCGCCGGCGCGGGCACGTATTCAAATGCGTGATCGACGACTGCAAGAGTTTCGCCTTCCTACCTTTGTACTCTCATCTTGTCGAGATTCCAGCTATCCAACCTGGGCAGTAAAGTACCTCTTCTGCGCTGTTCGAGGACATGACCATCGGTCCCCTGCCGCGGCATACACTGCTCCCGAATTCCGCGGCGAGCTTCGAGGCCGCAACAACTGAGACCGTCGCCTATGTCATCGAGCCTGCCGTCCAATGCTACAATGCAAAGCGTTGACCGTCCTGTCCTGCTCTTCGGCGCTACATATCATTCAAGATGTAACTCGGCAATGTGTCTACGATGATACACGTATAAGTAGTCTGTCACCGTCAGGAAATTTGCTGTACCCTCCCAGCACACGACCGTCCGCAGCCAAGAGATCGACCAGGCCAGGTATCTGAAACCTACCGGTCCCGCTCAGGCTCTGCCTGAAACCAGGCTACGTCGATGTATAAATCATTGCGTGCATCTCTGCTTCGTACAGCTCGCGCTCCATCAATCTTCCATCCTACTAGCCTATCCTCCAATCGCTTGTTCCGATGATATCGTCTCGCTCCAGCTCTTCGTCGTCCACTCGGAGCGAAGAGGAATTGCCGCTCTACGCCTTCGACCACGGCGCTGGCGCCTGGCCACGATGGAGTAGCAGACCGCAGTCCGTCTTCCTGCGTTACCGTCGTACCCATCCTGGTGCTACGTTCTTCGGTTCTGCCGCAGTACTGGGGTCACTCTTCTACGTCTTGTCGTCGTCACTCGGCCACATCGTGCTCTCCACGCAAGCACCGTCATGGTACACCAACGGCCTCCAGAGCTTCCATCTCGCAGGAGTACCGGTGCAATCCAACGCTCTTGAGCCCACCGGCTTCTTCGACATTACGCCTGGTGGCCTCCCGGACCACCTCATCGAATACTCTCGCATCAGCTCCGAGGACGTCTCCACGATGCTCGCCAGCACCGACGGCTTCTTTGCACGCGATTACAGTCTTCACCTCGGTTGGAATAACGTGAGTACGGCTCCGACTACTAGCTACCAACATGCGTCTTACGTCTATTGCAGATGCGCTACATCATCGAAGCCGCGTTCCTTCAGGCGCGCATCCTCAACCGTGTCCTTATTCTACCCTCCTTCGTGTACGCGCGCGCATGCGAGTACAGCATCGACGTCTGCGCGGAGTTCGCCGACATGGTTAACAAGAACGAGGCGATGAATACCGGCGTCTGGAGCGACTTGCCGCTGGAACAGCAGATGGGCTACCGCATCCCGATCCCTCTGATGCTCAACATCACCGCGATGCGCGCCGTTCACCCCGTCGTCCTCGTCTCGGACTTCCTCCGCCTGCACGACCTTCCCCTGGACATCGAGGTCGGCAACGGTCACTGGGGCCGCGAAGCGTACCATACTCATGCCCCCATCCACGGCGCTCCCCTTGGCGCACCGGACCTTTATGTGGTGAAGAATGAGTGGTACGACGAGGGCTTCTACCGCGTTGACGTACTTCCCGAGGATATGAAGAGGCGCGGTGGATGGGTGTCCGCCGCAGCGAGTGTCGATGGGCCCACCGGTCACTGGGAGGAGCGCCAGGAGAACGACGTTTCTCTCCGCATGCGCGAGTCGTTCGACTCATGGGGTCACCTGCTTCCGTGGAAGGACGCAATTGAGACGCTCCGGGTCACTTCCGCCCGCGACACGCACGACTTGGACAACGAGGAGGGCGTCATGGCAGCACTGCATGCAAACGGCTGGGAAGTCCTTCAGACATTCTTGGGTGTACACGACTCGGACGACTCCAAGGCCGTCATCGAGCTCACGCGCCACGTCGCGCCGCGTTCCTACATCCGCGGATGGTACGACGACTACGCCAACGTCAAGGCGCGAGTTCTGCTTCTCGAAGGCGAGGTACACAATGGTCGCAAGCCCGGGACGATGCGCTTCACGACTATCCCCGCGCTGAAGGAGTTCCAGCGCAACGTTCTCTACCACCTTCAGCCGCCTCAGGCCGTGCAGGATTTGGCTGCTGCTCTCGCGGCGCGTATGGCGGAGAAGACTGACGGTCGATTGTGGATGGGCGCGCACATGCGCCGCGGTGACTGTGAGTTGTCTCTGCGTCGTAATGCTTTCGTATATCTGACTCTGTTCTGCAGTCGTCACTGCTGGTTGGGCCACCGACAACTCCCCCGAGAACCACATGCGCGTCGTAAAGGGCCACCTCGCCGGCGGACGCGAGATCCTCGAGAACCTGGGCGAGATTCAACCCTACCCCATCCCTGAGGTCCAGATCAGCCACGCTCTGCAAACCAGCCCGGCGCCTCAGGCCAGCGACTTCTTCTACGTTGCAACCGACGAGCGGGACCCCGCTGCTCTCGCACACTTCCGCTCGCAAGGCGCTGTACTGCTTCCTGATCTTCTCACACAGGCGGACCGCCGGACGTTCGGCTGGCCGCTCATGATCACCGATATTCGTGCGATCGTCGAGCAGGAGTTGTTGGCGCACTCTGCCTTCTTCACCGGCACGCGCATCTCTAGTGTTGCGGGTGGTATCCTCAACATGCGAGCGGCGCACGGCGCGGATCGTAGGACTACGTACATGGAGTGAGGCTTTGGTCGGATCTCTAGGCTCCCCTGCTTTCGGACTTCCTATGTTAGACATCTACATGTTCATCGTTGTGTCATCGTTTTCTCGCGCTTTCATATCCCTTTGTACCCGCTACTGCCATATGTCTTCAAGTTGTCTGCATGTATTGTATATGATCTACTCAAGATCTACTTCCTACCCCGCCCCAAGAGCGCAACTTCTCGCAGTCGCTTCCCAGCCCACGTCGGCCGCCGGCCTCTCGCGGGTGAGGCCAGGGTCGACTCTTGCTTCCCATCATCACCTTCGAGAATCGAGTAGAGGCTTTGGCAATCCTTAGGCCTCGAATAGTATCTCGTATGCCGCTTCTCCGCTATTGGCGCTGCAATGCGGCTGAAGGACAGTTGCCTCGTGGTGTAGGGCGCAATGTCATAGGCTGTGTGGCAAGGCGCCGTGGGCTACGTTTAGCTCCTTCCTGGCGCTTGCCGTGACTATGAAAGGCTGGGCGGGTACACGGAACTCTCGACGAGGACGATTATTGGTACTTGCTTGTACTTCGACCTGGCACCACCCTCGTTCGGATTGTAAGCCAATACACCGACGTGGACCCATCGGATCGCCCTAAAGAGCTCAACCCTATCAACACCTCTCGTATGTCGCGGGCGAAGGAAGCTAAGGGCAAGTTTGTGTCCAAGAGGACGATATCGCTCAAGAGCGCGGACGGCAGGCCCGTCGATCTCGATAATCTGCGGCGGAATGTCGGCCCATCGCCTGTCAGCGCTGGCCCGCAGAGTCCGAGCGTGGGCAAGATCGAGCACACACGGACGCCGAGTCGGCCGGTGGTGAGGATGGAGACGCCCGAGCAGAAGAAGGCTCGTGAGGCGGCTGAGGAGGAGAAGGCGAAGAAGGAGCGCGAGGCTAAGGAGAAGGAGGAGCGGGCGAAGAAGGAGGCTGCTGAGAAGAGGGAGCGCGAGGAGCGGGAGAAGAAGGAGGCCGAGGAGAAGGCCAAGAGGGAGGCTGAAGAGAAGGTCAAGAAGGAGAAAGAGGAGGCCGAGAGGAAGGCGAAGGAGGAGGCCGAGGCCGCTGAGCGTGCGAAGAAGGAGGCAGAGGAGAGGAAGCGCAAGGAGGAGGAGGAAGCCGCTGCGAAGGCTAAGGCCGAGGAAGAGGCCAAGGCGAAAGAGGCCGCCGAGAAGAAGGCCGCTGAGGAGGCCGCCGCAAAGGCAAAGGCTGACGAAGAGGCTAAAGCCAAGGCTGCCGCTGAACCCGCTGAGACGGAGGAAGGCGAGATCGTCGAGGACAAGGAGAAGAAGGCCGATGACAAGTCCGGCGCTCTCCGTATCGAGACTGCCCTTCCGTGGCCCGCTTAACCTCAAGGATGTCGGCAAGAACATCCCCCAACCTCTCCCCTCTGCGCTGGCCACCGCTCGCATCATTGACGACATCAGCTCGATCGCCTACCCCGAGGGTATCCAAAGCCCAAAGCTCGAGCTCAACGTCAATGCCTCCAAGGGCAAGTTCAAGTACGACCGCGACTTCTTGCTCCAGTTTATGGCTGTCTGCAAGGACAAGCCGGACAACCTTCCACCCCTCGACGCCATTGGCCTCGAGCCCTCTGACCAGGCGTTCAGCATGGCCCGTGGTGGATCCGGTCGTCGTGCATCGGGTATGCAGACTCCCTCATCGCGCTCGAACCCCATCGGCCTTGGCTTCGGTCCTATCGGCAAGGCCGGTATGGGCAACTTCGCCATGCCCGCTGGTGCTGCTAGCAAGCTCTCCAGCGAGGAACGCTTCGCAATGGCGAGCCGTCCGGCTTCGACGAGCGGCGCTGGTATGCCTCGCGCTGGTGCACCGCCACTCGCCCGTATCTCAAACGAGGGTGGGCCTGGCGGTGATCGCCGTAGGACTCGCAGCTCACGCGGACATGCTCGCGGCAAGAATAGAATGGATACGATTCAGCAGCCGCTCATTCTCGAGGGGGCAGACCTGCCGGAACCGGACGTGGAGGTGCACTCTGACTTGTTCAAGTCGGAGGTAGTGGTCCACGAGGTTGAAGCGTTGCTCGACCAGTTGACCGTAGGGCGCTTCGACTCGATCTCAGATCAGATCATCGAATGGACGAACCAATCGGAAAGGGAGAAGGATGCGCGCACGCTGACGCAGGTCATCCGTGTCGTTTATGAGAAGGCGATGGAAGAGGCGGCGTTCAGCGAGGTCTATGCGCGCCTGTGTCGAAAGATGATGGAGCAGATCTCTACCAAGGTCCAGGATGACGGGATGCGCAACAACGAGGGCACGCCGTTCGCGGGGGGGCAGCTGTTCAGAAAGTTGCTCCTCAGCAGGTGTAAAGAGGACTTCGAGCGTGTCTGGGTAGCGACGGACCCCGCCAGTGCTGCCGGGTCGAACGGAGACGATGCTAATGCACGCGTTAGAGATAGAAGCGTATGGGCAGGCGTGGACGACGGGAACTTCGTGCCTTACTCAGACGAATACCGTACCGCCGCAGCCAGGACTAAGCGTCGCGGTATCGCTCTGGTTCGATTCATCGGCGAGCTGTTCAAATTACGGATGCTCACAGAGCGCATCATGCACGAGTGCATCAAGAAGCTGCTCAGGAACGCCAGTGATGAACACCCGGAAGCGGACGAGATTGAAGGCCTGTGCGTGCTTTTGACGACTATTGGCAGTATTCTCGATACCCCAAAGGCCCGCGCGCACATGGACGTGCACTTCGCACGCATGAAGAAGTTGGCTGAAAACAAGGATGTTGATGTGTATACAACGTCTATGTTGCAGGTTCGTCTGATCTCTACTTGTCAAAGAATAGGGGAAGCTGACATGCCTTAATCATCAGGATGTTATCGAACTACGCGAAAACAAGTGGCGATCGCGTAACAAGATCGTCTCCGACGAGTGGGCGATCGCCGGCGCTGCCTCGGGCACATCTCGCGCGCCGCCCCAGGCCAGCGACCTGTCCAAGTTTGGTCAGATCAACAAGCAGCAGTTCATGACGTTCGGCCCTAAGGGCGTATTCGCCAGGGCCCAGAAGGATGGCGCCGGATCTCATTGCGAGGGCAACATGTCGCGCGCTGCGGGTGCCCCGAGGACTATGTTTGATATGCTTTCCGGCGCGTATGCACCTGAGGCACCCGTGATTACCACGTCCAGCAGGCCGCCGAGCCGCGTCCCGTATGCCGATCTCAGCCAGGCTGACGCGTCCGATGCACCAATGCAGCGCCGCAAGCTCAACTTGTTACCGCGGAGCAAGGCACCGCATCCGGAGAAGAAGCATACTGTGAATAATCAGGATGGGACGGAGCAAATCAGTTGAAGTATGTCCGAGGAGGAGGCGAAGCGCAAGGTCGGAGAGGACGTCAAAGAGTTGTTCTCATTGAGATCAGTCGACGAGGTCGAGAGTTACTTCACGAGCTTGCCGGCCGAGCGCCGTTGGCTACTCGTGGATGCAATGTGCATGGAGGGCATCGAAAGACAGGCAGCCGACGTACTGCTGGTTACGGCCTTACTCGCACGTGCGCGCGTGAGGTCGCTTGCGAGCCTCGACGCATTCGAGAAGGGTTTTGAGCAACTTGCCGAGCTCCTCGACGACATCGCGATCAATGGGCCGAAGGCATTCAAGACCTTCGCTGACTGGATGCGTGCCGCTGGTCTTGCGGAGGATGAGGAACGCAGGACACGCATCGCGGAGAAGTTGTCGGAGGGCAGGGATAAGCTTCTTGGTTTGCTGGCGTACTCTCTCCTTGACCCTACTGTTATTGCTCCTTTGAATACTCTGCATGTTTAAACTATGCTTTCCGATACAACTACCTTCCCATGTATCCTATATCTTTGCCCCTCTACATCTCTTTCAGACAGTGTTTGCGAATCACTCGTCACCTCCTCTTCCGGTCGACTCGCGAGCCATTCGCGCGCGTGACGTCACGCGTTCGTGACTTGTTGTCGCGGCTGTCAGGCGGGTTTGAACGTTGACAGGAACATCCATGTTGCACCAGTAAAGTCCCCTCCCTCCACACGACGAAAGAGACTAGAAAATCACGGCGTCAAGAACATCAAACCATAAAATAGCACGAGCAAGCCCAACGATTCAGACGGCTCAAGACCCGCTCATGACACCTTCTCTGACGCTGCCTATTCTACTGGATTACGCCTGGCGCGCGCGCCTATCATGTTCCGTCAAAGCACATTAGAAAGTCTTGTGTGGAATCTGCGCTTCTCTGATGATGAATGAGAGTGCGCGTTAGGGAAACATCCACTTCAGCCGGTTCATCTCGGCAACCATCTCCTACAGGGGTGAACCGTTGTCAGCCTCTATCTTGTCATAATGGTTCTCTTCGACTGGCCCATCGTAATCTGACTTACTTTCCAACAGCAAAGCGACTTCTTCGGCAACCATCTCCTTTGAGCGTATGCCCTCGACAGCGTTGTGACAAGCTACTATGCGGAAGGTCTACGTGTGCTAGAAGCCGAAGACGGTCGAATGGGTGAGTACGAATCTCAATCCGCTTAACTGATACCGGATCCAGAATAGGCTGACAATATAAAGCCTGCACTCACAGAGTGACACGATAACGCGTCTACCCTTCTTACCTAGGCTTGTCGAAAGTATACTCTTTGAACCACATCTCTATTCTGCTGAAACCATGTCTTTCGACGCTGATGTCCTCGTCGTAGGTCTCATGACGCTTATACTCTTGCCACCGTGATGTCTGAACATCGGCTGTATAGGTCGGTGCTGGACCTGTGGGTCTCGTCGGTGCCCTTGCACTCGCTATGAATGGCGTGAAAGTGCGCATTGTTGAGAAGCTACCCGTTCCTGCCATCGGTCAACGCGGCGCCGGCATGCAGGCAAGTCGACAGCCTACTCGTACACTCCGCTTGACCTAACTTTGCATTTACTACCTAGCCTCGCACGATGGAGACGTACCGCGCGCTCGGTATAGTTGACGAGGTGAAAGCCACTGGCATCGTCGTGCCTAACGTTCAGACATACGATTTCGAAGGCAATCCCAAAGAGGTCGTTCCCATGATGGATTGGGGCGAGAAGACGCCCGGCGTTCCCAAGGTATGCACGCTCTGCCTGTGACATTTCTCCGTGGAGCGGGTTGCTGATTATGATTGCCTTGCAGCCAGAAGCTTGGTTGATTGGCCAGGACTGGATCTGCAAGATCGTGAGCCGGAACTTGAAGGAGCGTTTTGGCGTGGAAGTAGAGTTCGGCAACGAGCTTGTCAGCATAGATCAGGATGCGTCGGGTGCAACGGCTACCGTTCGCGTCGATGGAGTCCTCAAGGAGATTCGCGTCAAGTATGTCATTGGCACGGATGGCGGCAAAGGTGATTCGCGCCGCGCCTTTCATGTGATGCCCCACCTGAGCGCATCTCTTAGGTATCACTCGCAAGCTGGCGGGCGCTAACATGGTTAGCAAGTCAGACGCTGAAGCCAGGTCGGTCATCGGGGAGCTCGTGTTGAAAGGTTTCAACCCAGACACAGAGGTGGGCGGCATCTTGGCTAGCAGGCGCCGGAAGGATGACTGACAAGACTTCCAGAACATTCATCAGTTCCTCGACGCAAAGGGAAACTGGTATGTTCAGTTTGATAACTAAGCGTGACCCTATTCTGATCGTACTTCCAAAGCCTCATGATCCGCCCTGTGCATGAAGATCCTGGCTTATTCTCTATCTTCGGGTATGACCCTGATCTCGATACTGCGAGGGCTGCGAAGGACGTCGACTACCTCCTTCAATGGATACGTGCCATCATGAGGCACAAGGACATAACTATTGAATCAGTCTCGTCCTTGGCCGAGTGGAGGTACGTGTTCGCGTGTCAAATTACTATCGTGCATCTCTCTCATCCTTCGATCATCACCCAGGCTGAACGTGCGCATATGTGAGAAGTTCCAGGCGGGGAGGATCCTGCTGGCTGGTGGTACGTCTCGTTATCTGCAGGCTTGGTGATCGTTCTGACTGAACACCATGATCGCACAGACGTAGCCCATCTTCATAGCCCTGTAAGTGCCTTCTCCAACTATATCTCTCATGATCTGACTTGTACGTAGACTGGTGGTCAAGGCCTCACTAGTGGCGTCATGGACGTGGTCAGTGCCATTCCTAGATACTTCACGCGTTTGGCTAATTTGTTGTATGCAGAGGAACCTGAGCTGGAAAGTCGCGCTCGCATGCAAAGGTCTCGCATCCCCCACCCTGCTCGACTCCTACAGCGAAGAACGCGTCCCCGTCATCGCCGAGATGCTCAAGATAACAACGCAGTTCGCCGAAGCCACCTTCAAAGCCAACCCGGACCCCGACGCGTTCAAGCGCCCCGCATTTCTGGGCCAGCTCGGCGTGCACTACCGCTGGAGCCCGATTGTGTACGATGGGTTGCGTGCAGGCGAGGCCAAGTTCGGGAGTACCAACCTCGCTCCGTCGAGCACGTACGGAGGCGGCGAAGGCTCGCGCTTAGAGGCGGGCGATCGCGCCCCGGATGCTCCCGGTCTTGTGGGTCCCAACGGCGAGACCGCGCTCTTCGACATCTTCAACGTCGCGCGTCACACGGTCCTCATCTTCAGTCTCGCCCAGGCTGCGACTGTGCGTGCGGCTGTGGGGCGGTACCCTGAAGGTCACATCGACGTTGTGGTGTTGCTCCCCAGGGGCGTCGAGCAACAGGAAGATTACCTTGTTGATTCTCAAGGACACGCTTTTCAAGGGTACGGGGTGGAGGCGGGGGTTGCGGTGGCTATTGTTCGTCCGGATGGGGTTGTGGGTGCTCTCCTCAAAGCTGGCGAAAGCGTGGATGTGTATTTCTCTCTCATCTTCGCCCTCTGAGGAGACCGCGTCTTTAAAAGGTTGGTGCAATGGTTCGGCTTGTACATCCTATCTCTGCTTTGTTGTAGACACGCGCAATAGATCGCACAACTTTCTTCGCCCTTCGCAGTTGGCGCGCAGTTATTCTCATACGACGCGTTATGTCACGCGCGTGTAACGCCGCCGGGATCCTTTCCAGGTACTTTCTGGTACTATTTCGAGCATGAGTACAGGGTGAGCGTCGACTCACGATATCGATAGCGACAAGTAGGCACTAACAGGTTCTCGTGTAATGATCCAACAGTTGGTCGTTCAGGGTCGTGTTGGAGTCGGGAGAGAACGTAGGTGAACTCACACACCACTCAACACGCGCCTCGGTAAGCCTGCATGTATGACGTTCAGCTCTACTGTACGTATACAGGATCGAGAACATCATGACATGAGAGGAACGTATACTATATGGTACGATGTAAATCCCTCCTCCTTGACGAAAATACTATGTCTCACCTGAAGTTCGCGCAGGCGATCCGGAAGCTACTCGCCTTCCGAAACCTCGGGTCGAGTGGACTCGGATACGTGCCGAACCAGTCGGAACGAGCACAGTCTGTCAATGGCCCTGACGACGACGAACTCGTATATTCTATTCCCGGACTAAAGTGAGGCCGTCGCCAGGCCAGTGTGATGTTTGTGGATCCTCGAGCACCCTATAATGAGAATAAGCTTCGTGACGTCAAGGTGGACGGCGGGCACGTTCCCGCGTTGTTCGTTCTTCAACTTATCTTCGACCAGTTCGGAAGATGATCTGGACGTAAGCCGGGGTACAGATACCACAGCGGGGATAGAAGCAGTTCTTCACGGCCGACCCCGGACGATCCGGAGGAGCCTCGAGCTGTTCCAGCGGAGGCGGAGGGCGGATGGATGATTCGGCAGGAGTTGATCGCGGCGGAGTGGCTGCGCGAAAGCTGCCGTTTTGTCGTAGGCTTGGGTGACGACAGGGGAACCGAGTACGGCCCTGGTCGGGCCCATTTGATTGGAGAAGACATAGGAATGCTGACTTGCTTTATCGCTGTAAGCGCACGGCTGAGGAGCTCCTCCTGTACCTCTTCCCCGAACCACGACCTACGACTACTACGAACGATAACATGGCCGACGATCCCCCAATGATACGTTATACGGAACCTAACCAGGAAACACCTCAGGATGAACCACCCAGTCAGACGAGCACTGGTGGCCAGCAGACCGGTCGCCACACGCCGGGGCGACGAGTGATGTTCCACGCCTCGGTCGACGAAGGAGCAGAGCAGCGCGCACGAGAGCGCTCAGAAGAACGGCATCAATTAGACGAGGCCGGGATTGATGTACGCACTTCCTTCGCCTCCATTGTCTCGAGAAATGTTTGCGAATGTTTTGATTCCTAGCCGGCGGCATTCCGCACGCTTGCCACCGCGCTTGCCCAACACCGCCGCAGCGAGGAGACGGAGACGCCGACGTCGGCAACTCCCATGACGAACGCGCCGCCATTAGCGCCCGAACCGACAGCGGAGCAGGCTGCCGAGTCGGCGCAGCAGGAGCGCCTAACGGAGAACCGCGAGGTGTACATCGACCCGGATGAGCGCGCCGGTCTGCCCGCGCCTCTCGCCGGCGACGATCGCAACGAGCACGACCTCGCTGCCGGCCTCGTGCGCGCACATACACGGCGTGGGCTCTTCGGCAAATTCCGGCTGCCGTCTAAATCGGCCAAGACGGCGCAGGTGCGGGAGAAGGAGAGCTATGGACGGGGGCGGGGACGCAACTACGGCGATCAGACGCCGGACATCGAGCATGTTGCCGCGAGCAGGACCAACGGTCTGCAAGCCGGCGGCGGCATCTTAAGCGCCCTCCTCGCGCTGTACGGGCAGGACGACAATATGTCTGATACGACGTCTGTGAGCACATCCCGGCCCGGAACCCCTGCTCCTCGTGGATCAGGCAGGATATCCCGCGACTCGACACCAGAGCGAAGCGGGAGGAGCAGAAGGCGCATCCATATGCCGAACGTCCCCCAGATGTTCAACATGGAGCGCCGTCCGTCTGCCGAGCGCAACGGTGCCGGCGTGCTTGGACCCCTCATCGCGACTACGGCGAATATCTCGGCTGCAGCGGCACCAGCGAACAGTACCATGTGCGTTCTCACTTGGAGCATCGACGCGATCTTGTGTTTGACAGCTCTATTTTTGCAGTGTCCCCAATATCAAGCGGCCCGGGTACAAGCTTTCGCGCTATTCACTTGACGCGGCAGAGGACCCTCAGGCGTTCCGTCCACGGGCTCATGGAGGATCTAAATCCGAGACGCTCGTACCAGGCGCGAACGGCCAGTTCTTCTCCAACTCGCCGCTTGCGACGCCAGCATACGAGAATGGGCCAGGGCAACAGTCCAACCGTACATCCACGGGCGGCAGCTTCCCGTTCCATGCTGCGTCGAAGAGCGTCGATCATGCCAACACGTCGAGCGGGGACACTGCGCCGACGCCGAGCTACAAAAGCAAGTGGGGCGCCATGATGCAGGACTTGCCCGCTTTGCACACACCCGGGCTGTACGCGCCCCATACGCCCAATGGAGCCCGGACGCCCGCTACGGAAACCGATACGGATGGCGAGCACGACTACTTCAATGACAAGCGAAGGCACGATCGTGAGCGTCGGAAGGTATGCGCTCCACAGACTATATCTCCTTTCGGCGACGCATGCTCACGAATGATGTGCAGCACAAGAAGAAGGCGGAGATCTTCATTACGCGGCATATTAGCGACCTTTTGGCGCGACAGACGTTCATCTGCAAGCTCGCGCGCGCGATGATGATGTTCGGCGGGCCGACGCATCGTTTGCAGGCGCAGATCTTGAGTACGGGGCGCGTACTTGAGGTGTCGCTCAGTTGCATGTATCTGCCCGATACGATGCTGCTCAGCTTCGACGACGAGATTACGAGCACGAGTAATATCAAGCTCATCAAGCAGGCTTCTGCGCTCGACTTGACGAAGTTGACATATGCGTACAAGACGTACTGGGCGGTCAGTCTCTATCATATATCGAATGCTCCTGCGCGAAACTCATACCCTCGGTGTAGGTCATCCACGACGAGATCAGCGTCAAGGACGCGAGCACAGAGCTAGATGACCTTATGCGCGCCAAGAGCACCTACCCGACATGGGCGCTCGTCTTCTTTGGCGGCATGGCATCGGCGGCGATCTCGGTCAATTCGTTCAGCGGCAGCTTTATCGACGCGCTCGTGTGCTTCCCGCTCGGATCTCTGCTCGTGTTCATTCAGACACAGAGCGGTAAGAACGAGCTGTACTCGAACATGTTCGAGATCAGCATGTGCACGCTTATCTCGTTTATTGCGGCTGGGCTGTCGCAGACGCATAAGCTGTGCTTTCCTGCTATTGCTTCCGGATCTGTCGTGCTTATTCTACCCGTATGTGCCTTTGTATCTATACTATCCATCGCTGACACTCTGTAGGGTTACATCGTTTTATGCGGCTCACTCGAGCTCTCCTCACGCAACATCGTCTCAGGCTCCGTTCGGCTCTGCTACGCGATCATCTACTCGCTCTTCCTCGGCTTCGGTCTCGCCATCGGTCTCGAGATCTACGAGAAAATAACGAACAGCAACATCGCAAGCTCAGCAATCGACTACACCTGCTCCAGCTCGCACGACCAGAGCAAGTGGTATCGCGCAACGCCGAGTCTGTGGTGGAACTTCCTGCTGGTGCCGATGTATGCGCTCTTCCTGTCGCTGCGCAATCATGCGCCGTACAACCGCAAGGAGATCTTCTTGTTGGTCGGGCTGGCGTGTGTCGGATGGGTGACGAATCATTTCGTCACGACCGCGTTTCCGAACCAGAACGATATTTCGGCGGCGGTTGGGGCGTTTGCTGTGGGATTCTTGGCGAATGTGTACGGACGGTTCTTCAGGGGGAACGCGTTCGTTATCATGGTACGCCCTTCGTACTCCCCTTTTCTAAGGATTGAAGCTGATCGTGCGTGCAGATCACGGGCATCATGTTCCAGCTCCCCTCGGGCCTCAGCAACGGCGGCCTCATCACGTTCGCAAGCAACAGCACGGACGGAGACAGCAACAGCTACCTCTCCGGCTTCCAAACGGCCCTTCAGCTCGTATCGACGTGTATCGGTATGACTGTCGGCCTCGGTATATCCCTCGTCGTTGTGTTCCCTATTCAAAGCCGGAAACGCGCTGGCGGCGTTTTCAGCTTGTAGTCCCTCGCCCCCTCCTCGCTTAGACGTTCTCACCCTAGATCATGGAATTCTTCAATTCTCCTGCAAAATATACATACACTCTACGCATAACTGACATCATTGTTGCTTTGACATCATACCGCAATTTGTTTCTTCTACATGAACACTGGTTTTGTACTACTAGATATGCACTCCGTCCTGTTTTGTCTCTTTCTCCGTTGTTACTGGTTTCATCCGATGCTACTACTTACCCGACCTTACGCCGCTCGCTAAGCACTTGTATTGCATCTATTCACATAATATAAAGCATCTACGTACACGAAGACGGCTGATATTACGCGCAACTCGCAAGCCAGAACGAGCGCGCCAACTAACAGTCTCTGCTAGCTGGTGCGCTCGTTCCAAATCGTACAAAGATGGTCATCGATCCTCTACTTGCCTCTGAGAAGGCCGGAGGTAGATTGAGCGGTGCGGCACGGTGTACAGGTACAGGTACCCGATGGGTCTCCGAAGACTACCCGGTATGGGCTTCATTTTAGGCAGACGTACATGTGCATTCCACCATTTGTGGCGGAAATATCAGGTGACCGCGTTTGCCGCCGGCACAGGTGGCCAGTAAGGCTTCTTGTCTCACGCCCTCCTATCTCGCACTGCAATTCATTGGCAGGAGGATATGGACTCGAAGCTTGGGAAATAATACTTCTGGCACTACAATATCGAGTACAGAGGAGGGTTGAGTCTGAGAACCAGTGGGGCGTCTATTTTCGAACCAATTGCAACAACGGGGCCCTCGAGAAAGCGCCCAAGAAGTTGAGGCTCGCGCGAAATGTGCTGGGCGCGCGTGGGTCTGAGTCGTGAACGGAGCCGACGTCGACGTTCCTTGTCTCCCGCCACCACCTTCTCGGTCGCTACGATGAGCTCTCTCGGCGTCGGCACGGCCTCCTCGCCCATCTTGATCGACGACGACTCGGACACAGAAGTAGAGGCGCAGGTGCTCCCCGTGCCACACCCGCAGCCGCAGCCCCAGTTGGAACTCAGCAGCAGCACTGTCAATAAACGCCCACGTGCACCTACAACGCCTCGCGCTCCTCGCGCGATGGAGGAGAGGCGCAAGGGAAAGAAGATAGCAAGCGATACTGTCGGCTTTCAGATGCTTATGCGTATGGGTTACGAACCTGGCAAAGGTCTTGGGCTCGAGCTTGAGGGTGCGCGCACCGGATCTTGGGCTTCGCGAGGACTCTCGAGTGATTATGTCGCCTTTGTTCTGCAGGTCCTTCTGAGCCGCTGGCACCGGAACATCGGCCAGTATTCAATAAGCTTGGTCTCGGAGGCGTGCACAAGCAGTCACCAACACCGTCGTCTGCGCCCGAGCTTGAACAAGGTACGAACGTAGAGAAACCACTGACGAAGAAACAGCGTAAGCTCGCGGCGCAGGCGGAGCGTCTTGCTCAGGCAAGGGGCCAACTGCAAGCTGGGCCGTCAAAGCTGAAGACGACCCCTCGAGCACCCAGAGCCATGACCAGGCCGCCTTTGCCCGACATGGACTCCATCCCCACTGCGCCAAATCAGGTGGGCGCTCTCAGTTACTCTTCATGTCCTATAGATCAACAAGATGTTCTTGTAGCAGGATGAAACGCAGATCGACGATCAGGATGCAACGTTCTTCATGCAACAACCCGCTACGTTCTTCCCGAACTCTCAGGCCGCGATGCAGATGCAGATGGCGCAGATGGGAATGGGCATGGGCATGCCGTTCTTCCAGCCCATGTTTGACCCAATGCTTGGGTTCCCTATGGACGCAGCCTTCCTGGCCGCCCACCAAGGCATGGCTTTCAATCCCAACTTCTTCGCCGATCCATTCAACGCTCCAATGCCGCCTTCGCCCGCCCTTCCGACAGAACCTCGCGCAGCTCGCAATAAGGCCGCCAACACGCAGAAGCCGCCTTCGCCGTCTTCCAACGCAGCTTCTTCGTCCAAATCTGGAAAGGAGCCTGCCGCTGTGCCCGATAGGAGTGTCGAGCATATCATACGTGGCATAACGTACCGTCCTTCCCTCGGGCCTATCGGCGTGCGCATCCAAGCGTCTCCTGACACCGACTACTCCACGCGTAACGGCGGCGTCCCAGGATGCTTTCAGTACTACCCGGAGTTGACCTTCAAGGCGGACCCGAACCGTACGATCGTGCTCGAGACGATGCCTCGAAAGCTTCGCACGATCGACTTTGTCGAGCGCTGGGTGGCCCAATTCGCAGGAGATGATCCACCGGTCAAGGCGTCCCAGATACTCTTGCGTGATACGAAGGCGCTTGTGGAGTTCACCGCTGAAGCTGGTGCTGCGCGGGCTTTTGCGAGTCCGCGTATGAATGGCAATGGCGGTCAGCCTGGTATTCGCGCGTACGCGTACCTCCGACCTGGAGAGAAACCGCGCGAACCACCATTTATCCAGATCGCGATTGCGAGTCCGCAGTGGAAGGATGTCATCACGCCGCGCGATGTACTGCTACGACTGTCTGACCCAACGCGCCCGGCTTCGAAGCTTTTTGGGCCAGAGGACGAGGACGTCAGTCGACAGCTGGCTGCGAGGAGAGAGAAGGGCAAGCAGAAGGAGGTTCCACAAGCTCACGTCGAAGTTCAGGTCAACGACGATCTCGAGGAAGGGGAGTTGGTTGAGACTTCGACGGCGCCAGCTCTTCCAGCACAACCACGCGCAGCGCCCTTATCCTCAACCACACCCACCGCGCCAAAGAACAATGCCAAACGCTCCGCTCGGATGAAGCTCGACAATAGATCCTTGGGCGGCGAGACAGTGGCCTCTACTTCAGGGGCCAATCGAGACCCCGTGCCATTGTCTACAGTCTCGGTTCAGGATAGCGCTGCATATGAGGCCGCGCTCCGTAGTCGCATCAAGACACGCGCCTTAAAGCGGACCCGAGACGACGCGTTTGGTCCTCAACCACCACCATCACGATCCGCCACCCTCCCATCGCTACCTCCACCCCTTGCGCCTGCTGTACTGCCGCTTAAACCTGCTGCAATCATCTCTTCTTCTGCATCATCTTCTCGCTCAACGTCGACACCTGCTCTTACACCGACATCTGCAACCTTCAGCGCTCCATACATCCCTAGCACCCCCAGCACTTTCGCTACCGAATCTGCATCCGTCGCCTTACCTTCCACTCTCATCACCATGGACGCCGAAGCTTTTCTCATGGATACTCTCCGCGATGCCAAGCGGCAGCGCGTGCTCCCTCAAGAGCCGCGCGAGGCTTTCGCCTTCCACTGTGCGCGGCGCGATGCGCTGCTCAGCGAGTTCAACGCGGTCATGGCGAAGCAAACCACCGCAACTGATCGCGAGAACAAGCGCGCGCTTAGCGCGCATCTGAAGGAGATCATGGCGTGCGTGGCGTCTTCTTACTTTTGACTTTTTTGCGTTTTCTGTGTTGTGGTTCCTTCATCGCGCTTGTTTTTCGTCTACTTTGAGGCGTGTGGGTTTGCTGATGTGTGTCTAGGGATCTCGAGATCACACGTAAGGCCGTGAACGAGGCGAAGGCTCTGGTAGACGCGCTCAACGCTACACCGACCCGGACACCGGCTCCGCCCTCTCCTATGGCTCAGCGGCGCGTAAGCCCGCCATCCCGCATTTCCATGTCTCCTCAGCCGGGCCACAACATCAACAATATCGTCGGGGATGTACTGCCGACGCCGACCCCAGGCTGCTTGTTCCCGAATCCCACCGATGATTCGCGGTTCGTCTTCACCTGGGAGGATGATGACGATGAGATGGCCGAGGAGTAGGGCTGGTTTGGCTGTGCCTTCGCAAGTACTCTCTCACTGCTTTACTACGACGTTCATCTCCATTTCAGACATCGGTTCTCTTTGCGTCGTTAGATACACAAGGTGCGCCCGCGGTTCTCTTCCGTAACGCACGAGCTCACTCTGTATAATTAGGTTCTACTCACTACATCTGTCCATCTGTACTATCAACACACACTCATTCCTTTCATTGTTCCGTTACGTTTCACATGTTCTGCTCATTGCTCTCTAGACGCTTTGTGAGCTTGCTTGTCTTCCCTTCAAGTTCTACGATACGTTACTATATTGGTGCAGCATCGTCCGCTGCGTCGGGCGATGCGAACGCGTGGTCGCTTCTCTGCGAGATGGGGCACGCGCGATGTGTATATGTATCTTCCTTTTACAATCCATGGTCCGGCTTTACATCCTGAATACTACGAGCGTGAACCCCGATGTGGCCCGAGAACGGCAAGCCGCGTGTTGATTCTTCTCGCGCTCAGCCTGGTAAAGGGGAAGTGTCTACTCTCCCGCTCAAGAGAGTGCTCCAGTCTCTTGCTCATTTGGACAGCGAAGCGTCTGCCTCATGATGTAGGACTTCTCGCGTGTATAGCAGCGAATAGCATTGTACTAGTCGTACGACACGAGACCTCCTATCATCGTGGCATAAGTAAGAGGATCGGTGAGGTTTGGAAGATGGCAATCTCATGCAGTCCTCACGTAACCTCTCCTTGATGTCCGTCAGTATCGCGTCCAACCACTCCGATGTGTCGTTCGTCGATAGAGACCCTAGAACGACAGTACCGGCTGTTTTGGCGCCGCCACCAACGCCTGTGGTGCCGCTGCCTCATCGCGGGGATACTTTCGTGAGGCATCCTGAGCACTACTACCCCAATGGCGATATCAAGCTTCGAGTAAGCCTTCAACCTCCCTGCCTTGCCTACCTATTCTCACAAGGCATAGGTCGACGACACAGTGTATCAGCTTCATACCGATGTTCTTGCGCGGCATTCCATCTGGTACAGCACGTTCCGCGAACGTCTCTTGACTCATAATGCCGACCCGCTGCCTTCGGGCTGGCACGAAGTGTCGACAGAGGTCTGCATGATATACGTGCATCACAAGCGGAAGAGGACACAGATAGAACGCCCGAGCATGTTTGATCATGAGACTGGGGCAATCGTGATCGAAGGAGTGACTGTCGACGAGATGGATGCATATCTGTCGGTGGTATATGCCAGGTCAGCATCACAGCCGCGGGCATGAGATCGCGGACGCTTACAAGATCAACATTAGGAACTTCATCACCTTCGACTTGGCTACGTTGGAGGAGTGGAAGGCGGTCCTCAAGGTCGCTGACGATTTCGAAAGCCCGGCCATCCGCGCACTCGCGATCGACCGACTGGACGGAGCATTGGAGGGTGATATGACGCTGGAGCCGTTTGAGCGACTCATCCTGGCGCGCAGATATGATATAGAGGTATGGGCGACGCTCGCGCTTGATGGTCTAGTCAGACGAGAGAAGCGACTGGAGCCAAATGAAATCGCGCAGATGTTGCCGGAGGATGCCGCGCTCGTCGCCGCGGCGCGAGAGGATATCGCGCTGCATACGGTGCCTCCTACCCTCATGGGGGTCGCTGACGAGCTCGCCGGGGAAGTGACTGAGGAGACGACTGAGCGTCCAGCCGAGTCGTACGTGACTGCTGGACCTTCGCCGCCGAACTTCGCGGCTTCGTTGCCAATTGAGGCGGTCGGACCACCGCTCAACGCATCCAACAATGATTCTACGCGTCCTCCCGCGATGACGGTGCAGTCGACTTTCCAATCTCCGTCGGGTCAGACTGAGGGGCCAGAACCCCAAGAATTCACCTCTCCGCACGTACATGCTTCGAGTGAGCCTGCAGAGGGAGACGGCGCCGGGTCAGAGGGTGGACACCGCAGGGCGCATAGCGGGTCTAGTCTTCGTGCTCTCACGTTGCCTGCGCGGTACTCTCTAGGATAGGTTGCCATGTTCGAATCATAGTGTTACTAGTGACGTATAATTATAAGCTCATGGATGGCGTAGAGGCGGGATTGAAACTGCACGGCGAGCTTGCTTATCAATGTTCTTGAACGATGGCGCACCGCGCTCGGTTGGCGCAGGAGTTCAACGTTCAACTCGAAGATGTTTAAAGTGTCCAGTGTCAGCAGTCAGACAGCCCCATATAGAGAGAGATGTGGTAGGCCCGCAGCCGCGGCGCCTCGTCGTGACTCGTGGCAAACTCTGACGACTTGGGCGCCTAGCAGACCATATAAGTAGCATGACGAGCAAGTTGATCCATCACGGAATCCAAGGACACCCTTACATGTCCTCCCAGGTTCCCTCTCTCGCTAGCCTATCTCCCCATCGTCTTTCGCCTCTTACCTCTGATAGCCTGAGCTCCGTCATCTCTGTCTCTTCGTCGTCCGATTCAGAGACCGGAGATCTCTGCGCAATGTCGTCTGGCCCGCCTTCGCCACTTCTCCCACGCTTGGAAGCGAGTGTGGCACCGGCCACGTCGGACTCGCAAGCCACTGAGAAGCACCCTGAGCACTTCCATCCAGGTGGCGACGTAAAGATACTGGTGGGTGTACTCTCCCTTACTCTTTGATGCACCTTACTCACAGACGAACTCAGATTGGGCGCACGCTGTACCAGTTACACGGCGATGTTCTTGCTCGCCAATCTGGCTGGTACCGTGCATACCGTGAGGCTGTGGGCGATGATAGCACGCTCCCTTCCGGCTGGACCGCCCAACCCGGACCCTTCTGTACCATATACGTCCACCATGGGAAGGAAAAGGTCCAGTTTGAGCGCCCGCGCGCGGTGGAGGAGCAGACTGGCGCCATTGTCGTTGAAGATATCACTCCTTGGGCGATGGACCTTTTCCTCGCGATATTGTACCCCACGTCAGTTCTCTTCAAACATCGCAATTTCAAGGTACTAAACGAGCCGCAGGGACTTCATGTCTTTCGGTCTTACAGGTCAAGAAGAATGGACGGCCGTTCTCAAAGTAGCCCATATGTGGGACTGCTCTGCCATTCGCACGCTTGCCGCCGATCGACTTGACCGCGAACTCGGGGATCCTAGCTGCGCAGTCAAGGCCTTTGATCGTCTCATCGTAGCGCGTAAGTATACCATCGAGGCATGGGTCAAGCCCGCTTTGGCCAGCCTTGTGGAGCGGAGTGCACCGCTGGATGCGGAGGAGATCGAGCAAATGCTCCCTGAAGACGTCGCGTATGTTGCAGCCAAACGCGAGGACCGCGCTCTTCACAAGGATACCCCATCCTTGGTACTCTTCACGCCCGAACCACCCATGATCTCACCTCTTCCGCGCCTCTCTCCCAGACGTGTGGAAGCAGTGGCAGAGGAAGGACATGCGCCCTCGTACGATTACGGGCCGTATTTCCCGACAAATACGCTACAGTCTCCCGCTACTCTTTCTGACCTGCGATCCTCGTGTTCGCCTACTATATCGATACTACGCGCACCGAGTCCTCCCCAAGCTCGTTCGCCTCCGATGTTCACGACGAGCTCTAGGGCATCAAGCCCAATGGAGTCTCCCACTCGTTCTATCGACGCGTTCCGCCCGTGGACTCCGCCCCCGCCCCCGGTGCCGAACCCACCTCGAGCATGGTCGATAACACCCGCGTCGAGTGATTCGAGGCAGTCTCGCCCGGAGACGCTTACTCGAGTTCGCTCGCAGAGTCCGTCGCCTGAGGACATCCCTACTGAGCCTCATGTCCCAAGCCCAAACCAGAATCCCTTCACGAGCCCTCCGCGAGTGCAACAGCCGCCTTTTGTGCCCAGTCCTCCCCGTTCGACAGTCCAATCACAGTCGCCATACGTGTTGACTGAGGTGTTGCCTCCGAGGCAGCAGCCGCGGAGATGGCCCGGAGGGTGGCCCAGTATGCCACCACCAGCTGGAACGTTCGAGGTTCCAAGTTCAAGGCCGAGTTCAATGGCGTGGCCGTACCAGGCTTCGCCAAGTACACCACCGTGGGCGATTCAACGGATGGCGACCCATGCAGCTCAGAGGTTACCTCCACGCCCGACGGTACTAGAGGTTGCAGACTGTATGCCAGTCTCCATGCCGCCGCCACCTCCGCCCGAACTACCGTCGTCTCGCCCGATCGCGGTGCCCAGGTCCGCCAACACCTTGTTCTGAGTACGATGGACGGGTGCGAGAGAAGACAATGGATAGGAAGTATCATGTAACGAGAGAAGCCTCGCAGAAATCATGTAGCTCCTCAAATGGAATGTACCAATAGTGACCGCAGATTGTATCGCATCGCAATGCTTATGGAAGTGCTTGTCTTCTATCCTAGTGTTAGTCCAAGTCCTGGAATCATACATGTTGAGAAGGATGACTTGCCTCATGGTCTCCATCCAGCCATTCTCCTCGTGGTAGGCTTCTATGAGCGCTTCAGGGATCCTATAAGTATCATCAACAGTGGCTCAGTAGTCACTGCATAACCTCTCTCGCACCTTCATGACGTCCCCGGTTTTGTCTCGCGAGAGCTTGAGCGACCATTACTCCTCGCTACTCTCCGGCAGCACGAGCTCCATCGTATCCGTGAATTCATCAGAGCACGAGGAGAGCTCGCCGACCCCGATCGCCACCATGCCGCTCTCTTCTCCCACGTCGCCTGTGGCGGCATTGCCGCCACGAGTGCCCTCCACCCAGCCGCATCATTCCGACCACTTCTATCCCGGCGGGGACATCAAGCTCATCGTACACATCCATCCGTCCATGCGGCATTCCATCACTAACACCACTCATTCAGGTCGGCCACTCGCGTACGCTCTACCAGCTGCACGCCGATGTCCTAGCACGCCAATCGGGCTGGTTTCGCGCCTATCGCTCCCAAGAGCTGGAGACGGACGGCGACGACGCGCTTCCACCTGGCTGGGAGGCGCAACCTGGCCCGTTCTGCACCGTCTATGTCCATTTTGAGAAGAAGAAGATCCAGTTCGAGCGCCCGAGCGCCTACACGCTTGATGCGCAGACGGGCGCGATCGTGATCGAAGATATCACTGTTCGAGAGTTGGATGCCTTTTTGGCGGTACTGTATCCTACGTCAGTCTCGATTGACATTGCAATGAAGGGTGTCCATCGCTCACCGTTCTCATCAGGGACTTCGTGACATTCGGCCTCGACGCGGGTTACGTCGCCGATACGCGCATGAAGTGGCACAGCGTGCTCAAGGTTGCGCATCTATGGGACTGTCCCGCCATTCGCGCGCTGGCCGTCAGTCGTCTCCGGGCATCGAAGATGCCTACTTTTGAACGCCTCTTTCTCGCACGCAAGTACAGCGTTGATGAATGGGTTGCTCCTGCGTTGGATAGACTCGTCAGCCGCTTGTCGCCACTGAGCGAGGGAGAGATCCATGATCTGTTGCCTGGGGATGTGGCTGTCGTTACAAGGAGACGCGAAGAGAGAGCGCTCGACAGGATATTGCCAACGCCACCAACGCCACCAACGCCACCTTCATCTTCGCCAAAGCTCGAGTCGGAGACCTGCCCCTCCACTCGACCAGCGATTCCGGTCCCGCCAGCATCCGAGCTTGAAGCCGAACCCTTGCCGTCCGGACGTGATTCACCCGATTTGCCGAGCCTGTCATCCAGCCCGGTCCCTTCGCGTGAAGTGCCACCAACGCCAGCACCTGCTGCCCCGCCGAGCCCAGTAGTATCCCCACAACTACGGGCATGGCACGAAGGCCTTGTGCGTCAGGCGCAGTTGGCAGAGTCGATGCGGATACATAGAGCTAGCACCGCGACTTTCCCCATTTATGGTCCACAACCGCCTCCCGGGCCCGTCTTGTAGGTGAAAGACCGGAGATTGCAGGGTACCGGCTGGAGGAAGTCTTTACGAGATGCGAGTAGACGTATCGTACATCTGAGTGTTTTTCCCGATGTAACGTTCTATATGGTGTATGTTAGATGTACTGAAGTCGGCGAGAGTATATGGCAGACCGCTCACGGAGTCGTCGCCTTGTACAGTTCGTTACACCTTGCACAAGTCTATTCGCTGTGTGCAGACCAATCCACATCAGGGGGCGACTGGAAACAACGATGTTACAGCCTATGCACTACGACGCGTAGTCTACGCGCGTCCGGAGGATATGCAGAGACGTGAACAGGTGTAGATGCACATCTGGTAGCGAGAATCTTCAAGTCTTCGAGGACACGAGACTTGTAGCGGCGGACAGATTGAAAAGCCGAACCTCAGGCTGTCAGCCCTCTCTGAGAGAGCAAGCGTCCTAACGCGAGTGGATTGAAGCAGTCAAATGGTATTGCAGCAAATAGAGAAGTTTAATGCTTGTCTCCTCCTCTGTCTATAAGTCCCACACCAAGCACAACGCCGTCTGCGAGAATATCGGACGCTTTGCGGCCCTCCTCTGCGTGGTGCATCGCCTTCCTGGCAAATTCGGCTTGGACAGTCTTGGCGCGCGCAATCTAGAGTATGACAGAGGTTATGGTTTGAGACAGTCAGTCGCTGTGGCTGGGGAGCAAGTAAGGGTACGGACCTCCTTGGTGTGGTGGAGGCACTCTAGGTAGTCCTCCGCCTGGACGTTACACTGTGATGGCGTGTCGTTCGAGGCGTAGCACTACAAGACATAGCGTGAGTGACTTTCAATACGGCCCCACATTGTAAGTACGCACCTTTGAGAACTCCTGCCAGTACACGAAGCAGCGCGGACGACCTGTACCGGCGTCAAGACTTGCATTTCTCCATATTAGGTGGATGCGCACCGCTGGTATAACCAAAACCGGACTATAGGCATCCAAGTCAGAACAGGCACATATATTCCATGGAGCTAACACGCACCGCCATGGATAGTAGAAAGTGAGAGTCCGAAGGTGAACCAGCGCCGAGCGTGCCCGACGCGCGCCAAGCGTGGGAGAAGCCAAAGAAGCGCGCCTAAGCGCTCGGTGCCGCGCCTCCTGGCGGTGAACAGCCTCGTCGGTTGCGCCTATACCACGCGATCGAGGACCTTCTACAACTTTACGTGTACCCGACTCGTATAAATAATGGCTGAACAGGCTGAACTCGCCTTTGTCAAGAACCTCATCTCGACGCTCTCCGCTCAGCCCGTCACTTTCGCCAACGATTTCCAGCAGTTGCCTGAGCATCAGCTGCCTAGGGTTCAGGTATTGAAGGTATGATATACAGTCTGCTATCTTTATCTGGGTGTGGCGTGAAACGTGGCGTGTTAGGTACCTGTACCGCC